CCCACCCCACCCCACCCCAAAAAAACCTGCATGAAATTCAGCCATTCCTAATCTGAACCCCAGAATTGTTTCCAACCATGCCAGAAGTGATAGTGAGGTCTGGGGGGATCACTTCCACTCTTTGAATTGTCATTGTTGTTGTTGTGTGCCTTCAAGTCATCTCCAACTCATGGCGATCCTAAGGGGTTTTCTTGGCAAGTTTCTTCACAGATGGTTCGCCATTGCTTTCCTTTGCTGCGGAGAGAGAATAGCTTGGCCAGGGTCATCCAGTGGGTTTCCATAGCTTGGCCGGGATTCGAACCCTGGTCTCCAGAATCGTAGTCCAACGCTCAAACTACTGCACCATGCTGGCTCTCTCTCTCTCAGTAGTCTACCCCCAATTTAAAATATCAGCACAATCCATCTGTGTTAATGTTGAAAATAATGATGTTAATATTGTCATAATGTTTATGACTGATCTATGTGCATACAAGACTGCCCTCTAGTGAACTATTCAGTTTCAGCTGTAGAATGCTGAGAAAATCAAGCTAAATAGCTCATACTCTTCCTTACTGAGGCCTTCACAAAAATTATTTCTGATTCAGGTTTGGAGCTGCAAGTCTAACATGCTTGCTGCCATTGCCATGTCTATTGAGAGATGGCTGTAGATTTAAGGAAGAGAAGCAAATTGTGTATGGAGAAACAGAACTGTGGATGAATTAACCTTCCCAAATAAGTATAACCTTAAGTACTATGGGCCCTTGGTATCCACTGTGGTTTGGTTCCAGGACCCCTCATTGATACCAAAATCCATGGATGCCTAAGTCCCATTAAATACAATGGCACAGTAAAACTGTGTTCCTTATATAAAATGGCAAAATCAAGGTTTGCCCTTTGGAATTTGTATATTTTAAAAACATTTTCAAGCTGTGAATGGTAAAATCTGTGCATACAGAGGTCTGACTCTATGCAGTCTAGCACTTGAAAGCGCTCTTCCTTTTCCCCTCTTTCCTCCCCTGCTTAAAATGTTGTGCTCTTGAAGAATATAGCAGAGGTCATTGATTTTTGTACATTCAGAACACAGTCCCACTCATTTCCCCATCAGATACACAAAACCCTATAACCACTACTAAATTTCCATTTTCTGAGATGGGGGGAAGTTTTTTTAGTGCCCCACCCCAAGACTCTTCAGCAGATGAGGAATTAGTTTTATGCAGCCACTTAGGGGTTATTCCAATGTTGTTTTTTGTTAGTGGGACTAACAAATAATCTCACTCACTCATTTTGGGTTAGTTATTCACACTATGGAACTGCATCTATGTGCATTTCTGTGAGTTCAGTTGCTCACATGTGCAAGCATTCAAATGAAAAAGTAGTTGATTATGTAAATGTATTCGAAGCGTGTTCAAGGCATGCAGAGTTTTATCCTGGTTTATCCTGGGTCTATTCATATCAGTTATTCACAAAGCTGACAATCTGAATCTTTTAGGAAAACTCGGGGGGGGGGGAATGAGATCATTTATCCCAGGTTAAGTGGATTTTTTGGCAGCCCCCCCTCAACTTAATCAGATGCATTTGAAATGCACACAAACACACACACTGCAAAAATAATCCAGTCTGAGCCCATTTAAACTGTCATGGTTCAACACTAGGGAATTCTGGGGACTGTAGTTTTGTGAGACTTCTAGCCTTCTCTGCCAGAGAGCTCTAGTGCCACAATAAACTACAATTCCCAGGAGTACCTACCACTAAACCAGGGCAATTAAGGGCCTTTGCAGACTGTTAGAAATAGTGCAAACTGAGTCCACTTTAACTGCCCTGGTTCAGTGCTAGGGAATCATGGGAAATCAGTATTTTTTTTCTGGGACACACAGCCTTCTATGTCAAAGAGCTCTGGTGCCACAATAAACTACGGTTCCCATGATTCCCTAGCACTGAGTCAGGGCAGTTAGTGGACTCAATTTGGACTATTTCAGGCAGTCTGCAAAGACCCTAAAGCAGTCCCAAATTGGATTATTTCTGCAGTGTGTTTTCAACCCAAGATTCAACCCACATTCGATTAAGGGCCTTTGCAGACTGCCAGAAATAGTGCAAATTGAGTCCACTTTAAGGGTTAGGGTTAGTGCTAGGGAATCATGGGAATTTTTTTTTTCTCTGAGACATTGAGCCTTCTCTGTCAGAGAGCTCTGGTGCCACAATAAAATACAGTTCCCATGATTCCGTAACCCTAACCCTTAAAGTGGACTCAATTTGCACTATTTCTAGCAATCTGCAAAGGCTCAAAGATTATTTTCACTGTCTGAATAACCCTCTAGAGCAGGGGTAGGCAACCTTTCCCCTTTAAGGGCCGAGGGACTTCAGCTCCCAGATGTTGGCCAACAGCTCCTAAGATTCTGGGAGCTGAAGTCCCTTGGCCCTTAAAGGGGAAAGGTTGCCTACCCCTGCTCTAGAGTCTAGACAGAAAGCTAAAAACCAGCCAGGCCCCTGAGGGAGCAACAAACAGGAACAGCTAGTGAGTTCTGGAAAGGAGCCTAAGCAGAAGCAACTGACCAGACCCTCTCCCTAAGATGGACAGCTACAATTAAGGTCTGCTTTAACTAATACCAGCTAGAAAGTTGGATGGGGCTAGGAGCTATCACCATTTTAAACCAAGCAATTGCTCTGACCAGCCCTGGAAATATCCCTTTGTTGTTGTTGCTGACTGCCATCAAGTGAACTTCGACGTAGGTTGACCCTCTGAATGAGAGACCTACCAATAAATCTATGGTGGCACAGTGGTAAATGCCTGTACTGTAGCCACTCACTCACAAACCACAAAGTTGTGAGTTCAATATCAGCCAGAGGGCTCAGGCTCGACTCTGGCTTGCATCCTTCTGCAGTTGCTAAAATGAGTACTCAGCTTGTTGGGGGCAATTAGCTTCCACATTGTAAACCGCTTAGGGAATGCTTAAGTGCACTGATAAGCGGTATAGAAATGTACTTGCTGTTGCTATCAACAGCCCTGCTCAAGTCTTGCAAGCTTGGGGCAGTGGCTTCCTTTATTTCTCCTATCCACTTGTAATGCAATATTCTTCTTTTCCATTATTGTCTTTCCTAGTGAGTCATGCCTTTGGTATCATGCTCAGAGTACAATCTCAGTTTAGGGCCTCTGCAGACTGCCAGAAATAGTGCACTTTAAATTGAGGCACTGCCCTGGCTCAGTGCTAGGGAATCATGGGAATTGTATTTTTTTCTGAGACATTGAGCCTTCTCTGTCAGAGAGCTCTGGTGCCACAATAAATTACAGTTCCCATGATTCCCTAGCACTGAGCCAGGGCAGTGCCTCAATTTAATGTGCACTATTTCTGGCAGTCTGCAAAGTCATCTTGGTTTCCAGGGAGAACTCAACCCTGATTTGTTGGTGTTAACTGACTTCAAGTAATCTTCAATATACGTTGACTCTCTGAATGAGAGACCTCCAAGTCAGTGGGGCTTCTGGACCTAATAAAAGTATTTATTCCTGTTGTTGTTGTGTGCCTTTAAATAGTTTCCGACTTATGGCAATCCTAAGGTGAACCTGTCATGGGGTTTTCTTGGCATGTTTTTTTCAAAGAGGGATTGCCATTGCCATCCTCTGAGGCTGAGAGAGTGTGACTTGCCAAGGTCACCCAGTGGCTTTCATGGTCAAGTTGGGATATGAACTCTAGTCTGTGGAGTCATAGTCCAACACCCAAACCACACGACGCCATACTGGCTCTCCCCTCCAAGTCAAGAAGAAGAAGAAGAAGCACCCCCTTTGCTCGGAGTGCGTGTGTGTGTGTGGGGGGGAAAAGCAGCAGTTGCCTTGGCAACAGCAGAACGCGCTGGGTCCCGTCCGCGGGTCGCGCGGCGAGGCTCGCGTGCCTGATTGGCTCACTCCACCGGAAGTGTTGGCTTGTTGTTTCCCCCGGAAGAGCTTACCGCGGGTCCTCGTGCGCAGGCCGATCCGTTGCCACGAGAAACGGAGCGAAGAGAAGGGAGAGGGAGCTCGTCCTCCAAGGCGACTCTCTGGGGCTGAGGAAGGAAGAGGAGGAGGGAGGCCGCGGTTCTCCCTCGGAGCCCCGGCCAAGTGGAAGGCGGGCGGAAGGGACTCAAGCCAAGGCCTCTCCGTTGCCCCTCTTTTCAAAATAAAACGGAGGTAGGAGGAGCTTCAGCACGCCTTTTGGAGACCCTGAACGCCTTTTCATTCTTTCTAGTCTTTAATTGGGATATTATTTTTTCTGTTCATGTGTGTGGAAACAACCACATTCCCCCCCCCCAAAAAAAAGAAAATGCTTTACAAAAGCTCCTTTCGGTGGGTTGTATGTAACACAATTTAAAACAGCATTGAAGGCCTTTACAGGTATCTCCAGAGGGTTTTTAAATCGTGAATTTTAAATGTGGGTGGTTTGAATGTGTGTATATCTTGTTTGCCCTTTTGAATTGATGGGTCTCTGCGTGTGTTTTAACCTCTGTTGTGTTTTTAACTGATGTCGTGCTTAATACTTGTTAATTGCTGTTGTCCATGCGGAGAAGCGGTAAGATATTTATTTATTTATTTCATTAGCGCATGTGTCCTTCACCATACCCAAAACAACTCATGTAATAATAATGATGATGAAATCGTGAATAATTAATAATGAAATAATAATAATAATAATATATTATGAATAATGAAATAATAACCACCCAAGAAACAATAATAAATATTATATTATTATTGTTATTATTACAGTGGGCCCTCTACATTTGCTGGTGTCGGTACAGGACTGCCATGAAGTGGAAAAGCCACAAATAAACCCACCCACCCCCACTATTTTTGTACCTGAGGGAACACCTCTCTAGAATCTCTAGGTCCTCCAGTGCAACTCTATGGTCAACATCTGCCAGAGGTTGACCACAGAATTGTACTGGAGGACCTACAAATGCTAGAAAAGATTTTTCTCTAGAAATCTCTAGGTCCCTCAAGTGTGACTCTGTGGTCCCCTTCTGACAGACGTTGTGCACAGAATCACACTGGAGGAGCATATTAATCAAATCCGTGAATAATCAAATCTGCATAAGTCAGATATGCAAACGTGGAGGGCTGACTGTATTACAGGACAGTTTGTTTTGGGCTACCTTAACTCAAGAGGTCTTGGTAGGGCTCAATCCCAGCCAAGGTTCATTTGGTTTTTCCTGGGGAGAGAGAACAGGTGTAACTTTCTCCTGAGGGCTGCAGGGGATCTAGTAGAGGCTTAGGTTAGTGACTTTTAAAGAATGTTGTTCTGCAAAAACACAGGTGATGGGTTGTGGTAGTTTTGTTGGTATGTCATGACTATGAGAACTAAGTCTAAGTGCATTTGAAATTCTGATATTATAATGCATTACAGT